TCTAGGCCCGAAACGTCAGCCTTTCTGCTCCTATGATGCTGCTTGGCCTGCTGAGTTCATCCAGCCCTGCACCTTGTTGTCTTGGCGATATTACAGTTAGTTTTCTGATGTAGATCGTTAACATAAATTATAAATAGCTGAGGTCCAAACAATGATCCCTCCATGCCTCGCTAGTCGCTGGTGTTACTCGGAAACTACACCTTTATTCTTACTCCTTGTATCCTGATGGGCGACCAGCTCTCTAACCGAAACAAAAACCGAAAGAACTGCGGATGCTGTAAATCAGGAACACAAACAAAGTTGCTGGAAAAGCCTAGCAGGTCTGACGGCATCTGTGAAGGAAAAAAACAGAGTGACCCTTCCTCAGAACTGATGGTGGCTGGGAAAACGTCAGTTTATATGGAGAAAATAAGGAGGTGGGTGGGGTAGGGAGTAAACGATAGGATCGGGCCCAAAGAGAGAGAAGAGCAGTTAGGCGGACAAAGGAGTTGCTAACGATCAGGCTGGGAGGGTGAATAGTTGTTAATGGGGTCTGTTAGTGACTAACAACAGGGGGTGTGTAATAGCAGTCTATGTGGTAACAAGTTCTCTAACCGTATCAGTATATTGCCCTCTAGCCCCCACAGACCCATATGCTTTAATTTGGCATGTTAACATCTACTGTGGAACCTTTTCGAAATCGTCCTGACAGTCTAACTGAACCAATCCATTAGCTCTCCTTATCGACTCTACTAGGTACATCCTGGAAGAGTTGTAGTAGATTTGCCACGTTTACTGGCATTGTGCGCCAGAGACAAAATATGCAAAAGATTAACGCTTTCCAATAATAGCAATATTCCCCAATTATTTCTTTCCCGTATCACTAAAGTGTCAGAATTCGTAATTGCATCATGTGTACGTGTTTGTGGAGTCGGATGGTGGGTCAGACGAGGTAAGAATGGCAGGATTCAATCCCTGAATGCATTAATGAACAGTATTGGAAATTCTAGCAAAATGAAAGTTCCGTGACAATGAAATATACATACATGGTTTAATTTCCACAATTCATTGTTGATGTTGACGAGCGATTTTGAGAGATTATTGATGAAAAATTCTCCCAATTTCGGTAATGTGTCTGAAGCTGGACGCATTCAGTATGAATTAGAAAATCAACAGGTTCCTAAAATTAGAAATGTAACTGCCTTTGCGGATTCATTTTTCCAGAGGGAGGATCATTGCAAAGATCAGAGTTCCGAATCCTGGATGTGCCTTTATTAGATCTGATCAGGCCTTACTGAGACAGAAGCAATGAAATCAGCTGGATATTTAATCTCCAAAGGCATCAGTCTCGACTATTCACTCGGTGAGAGTCACAGGGTTTCCTAGGGGTTAGAAATTCATTCTCAGATGGAAACACTCTGGCAATAATTCACAGCTGACAAATTGCGTCTGTTACGGTTAATGGAGCTGGATATTGGCGAGAAAGTAACACATACTATGCAATGTGGTCAACATTACGCTTTCGAATTTCTGCCATCTTTTGTAAAGACAAAAATCACCACCTTTTCGAAAAGAAAATAAAAGCTGTCATTACAAGAGTATCATGCAGCACTTTGAGTGTAGAAAGGCATCTGTGGGATACTTAAGTGTGTCATTAAGCAGAAAATTGACATATTTCGATATTACGCTGACATCAAGACGAGTGGTTAACGAGCTAGTCTCATAAAAGAAGAAAAGAAAATAATTACAGGGATGCAGTGAGTTGGAGGAATCCCATAGCTTAGACGCCATACAGCTGCTAAGGACTGCGTAAAGGAAATCTATGGGATCTACGACGGGGAGGGAGGGGGCAGATCTAACGTCGCAGCACATTCCGAGGCTGGTGGATGGAGAACGGATAAAATGAAGAAATTAAATTTGGGTTTGTCATTTTTCATATGAAGACTTTGCTGCAGAGGTAGCCAATGTAGTTCAGCGAGAACAGGGTGATACTTGAACGGAACATTGCATGAGTTGGAATAGTGTGGTGAAACTCAAGATCCATCACAGAGAATGGAAGGGTTTTCTGACCTCACAACATGGAGAGGAAAATGTTCCATTAATGTAATAATTATAGAAATTTTCAATAGCTTGAATATCTTACCAGGAATTCCTAGCACTACGAGAGCACAGTAGAAAATGTTCCCGATTTGGAGAATTGGTGCTTGTTCCATTTTGTCAATGTGTTGGTTCAGGAAATACTTCCAAATTATATCCTTATTTATACACTAGCCAACCTCAGTGAAGCAATTCACTTAAATCCTTGCAGACATCAATAACAGTTCATTGAACAAACAGATTAATGACGTTAAATACACGGCGACCTGTTTGCAAGGATGCCAAGCGAGTTTAATGCAAAATGTCTCACTGTCGAGAGCATTAGATCTTCAAAAAATCTGAACGTGTTCAGCAGATGTTAAAAAAGAACCATTGATATTGATCTGTTAAATTACAGGAACATTATTTGTCACTCACTGAGACAGTTTTTATTTTATTTTAAAAATACGGCTTCACATGAAAGAGTAATGCCGATGTGCAGTCCTGTCAATTTCGTTCAGTTTCAAAGTAGCTAAGAGCTTTGGTTCTCTTGTATCAATGGCAAGTGCTGCTATTCATTTATATTCCACATTTTATGTTCATACGTGTGACGTTACGTGAGATCCCCAGTCTGCTCAAGCAGGCCGATTCGCCCCCCAGATATCAAGGACCGGCTGAAGATGCTGGATACCACAAAGCAATGGGCCATGGCAATACTCCGGAAATAGTACTGTAGACACGTGCTCCAGAACTTGCGGGGAATCAAGCTGCTCCTTTCCAGCCGTAAGAGGGGCATGGAGCAACATTGCCCGATCTGTCCTCTACACAAAACGAAGGAGAAATCCAACCCGGCTAATTACCACTCTATCATATTACTTCGGATCATCAGTAAAATGATGGAACGTGTCATAACGGTGCTACCAATAAACTGCACACTGACGTTCACACTGTGTTTTAAAAACATTATCCGGGCCTGCCCTCATTACATGTGTTGCCAAAACAGGCATTACTTTTTTTTTTAAAAAAAGACGAATTTCTGCCGTAAGGTGTGACTGAATTTGCTTGACATTATGACAGCACTCAACGTAACATAGTATCAAGGAGTCTAGGAAAATTGGAGTCAATGTGAATCTGGAGGACAACTCTATACTGGTTTCAGTCACACTGACCCTCGGAGCATCCCACCCAGACCCATCCCCCTATAACCCACCTAATCTACACATCCCTGAACACTATGG